CAATGACAATACTACACCTTATTTAGCTTGTCTTTGAGGCCTACCAGTTAGGATTATGCATTAGGCAATGAGAAGCCTCTTTACGTATACTCCACTTTTGGCTATGATGAAGTAGCTTTTAGACTGACTCTCTGGCCAAGACAACTTTAAGAGCTGATGAAATACAGAAACAAAACTGAAAAGTTATATAATGGCATCACATTAACAGGCCTAAAGATTTATAAAGTAAATTTATTTCTACAAATAAAAATGTATAAAGTAATTTTCCACAAATTTCAAATGTTTGAAATCATACAGACTATATTCTTCTGACCATAGTGGAGATAACAAAAAGATAAACAGAATAATCTTTCAAATGTTTAGAGATCAAGGATTACAATTCTAAATAACCCATGGTTCAAAGTAGCAATTAAAGTAGAAATTAGAAACCTTTTTGAACTGAAAAATACTTTAGTAATTTATGTCATATTAAAAACTTGAGAGATGTAGCTAAAACAGTAGTAAGAGGCCTTGCCATGTTTATGGAGTAGAAGACTCAATACTGTCAATGTCAATTCTCCCGAAGTTTATCTAAAGAGTCAACATAATTCTAATAAAAATTTCAGCATTTTTGTGACAAACTGATTCCAAATTTTATTTTTAAATCTGAAGGGCCAAGAATAACTAACACGGTTTTAGAGATGAAAAACAAAGATGAAAAAATTATACCACCTGATTTAACACGTATTATAAAGCCACAGTAATTAAACAATGTGGTATTTGTCCTAAGATAGATAAGTAGACCAACTGGAATGTAATACATAGGGAATATAGAAGCGGACCCAAACACACAGTCACCCAATTTTCAACAAGGATGCCTCTGAAATGCAGTGAAGAAAAAATTTGTTTTTAGTAAATGGCTTTCCACATAAATAAAAACTGATCTTCATTCCTGCTTCATCTCATACATAAAAAATAAGTCCAGATCTAAGGTAAAAAAATACGGCATTTAGAACACAACAAATGAGGATATCTTTATGACTTTGTGATGACAAATATTTTTATACAGGATGCAACGAGCACCGACAATAAAGGAGTACTTAATAAACTGGATTTCATTAAAATTAAGACCTTCTATTTATCTAAAGACACCATTAGAAGAGTGGAAAAACAAGCTTCAAATGGGAGAAGATAATTGAAATACATATAGCCAAAAAAGGATTCAAATCCAGCCTATTAATCAAGCATAGGCCAATAAAAAAACAAAAATAAAATAACAACGGGCACAATACTTTAATAGGCACTTCAACAAAGAAGATATAGAAATGGTCAATAAGTATATGAGAAGATGCTCAACATCATTAGTCATCAGGGAAAAAAAAATTAAAGTCACGTCATGATACATATCCATCAGGATGGCTAAAATAAAAAAGACAAAGAATGCCAGATTTTGTGAGAATATGGAGCAAATGAAACTTTCATGTGTTGTCTGTGGTGGTGTAAACTGGTATAACCACTTTGGAAGCTGACTGGCAATGTCTATTGAAGTTGAACATACATAGCCTGTGATGTCAGCAATTCCACTCCTGGTAAATATAGAAAGAAATGAGTACAAACAGGCACCAAAAAGACATACAAGGATGGTCATAGCACCATATTATTTACAATAACAAAAAAGTGGGAAAAGTCCAAATGTCCATCATCAGTAGAATACATAAATTATATTTACATGATGGAATACCATATAAAAATGTAAAAGAGCAAACTACTTTTATACACAACATATATGGATCTTATAAAATTGAGCAAAAGAATCCAGATATGAAAGAGTATGTACTTAATAAGTCTATTTATATAAAATTCAAAAAAAGCACAAATATAATCTATAATGGCAGAAGTTGAAATAGTGGTCAGCTCTGCAGAAGATACTGACTTCAAAGGGTAATGAAAACATTTCCTGAGACATTTGCAATGCTGTACATCATGATCTGTGAAGGGATTATACGGAAGTGTTTACTTCATAAAAATTCCTAGAGCTATACACTTAATACTGTGCTCTTTGCTGCAGGTATGATATTTCTCAGTTAAAAGGTGTATGTAACACTCGGGCATACTCATACACACACCCAATTTAGGTGGGGATGTGAGCTGATAATAATCATGTTGTGGAGGACCCCTTTGGTAGCTGCATGGAGATAAGATGGTGGGAGGGTGAGAAGATCAGAAGTTGGGAAGAGAGAAAGTAGCTATGGCTAGGTCCGGGCAAGGTATTAAATACCTGCACTAGGGCAGCTGTAGCTGAGAAGGGATTGTGATATCTAGGAGAGAGACTCAGGGGCAGATCCTATAGAATCTGGCCTGTTAGATGTGAAGAATGAGAGTGTGGAGTGAGTGGGCGGCTGGAAATTCAGGTAAAGGAAGCTGCTGTTGGAGCTATTGAGCGAGGGGAAGGGGTACGCAGGTTAACACGCTGCCTATGAGATGCTATTGGGGGATACAAGTGGAGATGGTGAGCAAGTGAAATTAGGAAAACCGATCAGTGAAACTCTGAATTTACAGGGAGACTTGTCTAGAATGAAATCCCTGCCGGGGTTTAAGGACTTCAAGGAGGTTGGGTTTCAAAAGCACCCCACCTTCCAGCCACAGGGTGAGACCTTGGAGGATTATCTTCTGACTTCTGAGTCAAGGAGCGGGGAGCATGTGGCACAGTGAATAACCTGCAATCTCACCCCACCCATGGAGGGCTCTGTGGCCTTGGGCCACCTCACATCTCCAGCCCACTGTGCCTTCGCTGGGCCAGTGTCTGCACTAAATCTTTACCATTTCCTGGGGAAGCCTCACTCTTGTTCTTTTTCACAATAAATTTGTTTAACTTCTAAACTCAGTAACTCCTTCACAGCTGAAGTTGCTCATGCCTAGTCTCACACTTATCTGTTTTTTGTGGACTATTTCTGGACAAACCTTCCTGGAACTTTACCAAAAGACTAGGAACTCTCCCTAAAGAAATTTAAAGATAACCCCAAAGCAAAGTATTCCAACACAGATTTAAAACGGTTTCATAAAAATATCAACTTTTCTTAAATGCACTGTGATTATATACTATGTCTCTGCCACAGGGTGAGAGTAGAGAAATACAAAAACTGCATTTTAAAGATGCATATATATTACACCTATGTGCATTAATAAAAGCCAGATAGGCTCACTCTAGGTACATAGGGAATAGCTGTGAGAACCCTGGGTCCTGTTTATTGTTCTCCCATTGTGAAGGAAAACCATTTTCTTATTTTGATAAGAACTCCTATTAGACATTAACAAAGCCTAAGCTGTAGTGACATATGCATATACTTGTGAAATTCAAACACTTCTTTTGTGTGAAAAGCACTGACTATAATGAAATTTTAATTCATAGTTCACAATAGAAATGTAAGCAAGGGCTTTATCTATAAATTCATTAATTGCTATTCCCTGTCTAAAGTAGCCAAATACTCAGCAGCAACTAAAAAAGGCTGTCATACCCCCAGTACTGCCTAGTTTTAACTTTTGGTTGAGTTTATAAGATTTAGAATGGCTACGGCAAGGAATAGAACTATGGATGTACAGTCAAGAAGCAACTGAAGTCTCAGGCTATATCCCTCTCTTCCTAACTCATCTGCTTTTTACCCTTCTGGGGTAATCAAACCCCAAGGACATGCAAGTAGCTTCCATGAGAAAAATCACCTGCAAATACAGGCAAATACAGGCACTCAGATTTAGCCTAAAGTAATCCACTCCTAAATATGTGTTAGATAACAAATTTTCAGATAGAAATTCAATTTACAGTGGGAACCCAATTTCATATTTTTTAAACAGTTTAAGTATTCATACCTTTCTAATCCATGTTGGTTGTATCTGTCAATCCACTGAACTAGGTATTTTCCAGTTTTTCAAGTATATTGTGCTGTGCTCAAGTAGCATGGTGAAGCTTTCAGACCTAGCAATAACTCATGTAAGTTTTCTTTATTTTCCCATGCATAGAAAATAGAATGTGCATGGTGGTAAGCCCATATGCCTGGCCAAGCTTTTGTCTTCTCTATGTTATTTTCTTTTCATAGGCTTTATCACTTTCAATTTTTCTTCTGCAGAAGGAAAGGCCACTTGGGCTCACTTACTTGCCTCATAGTCTGTTCCATTTTTTAGAAAGTATTTTATTTTCACTTACTGATGTAGGGAAGATGACAAGCAAAAATGCCCAATACGTTTAAACAGCACACATGTGAGATGTAGTATCATCAGGTGAAATACTGACACTCACTGGGGCCAACACCTTGTCCTCTCCCGGGGACACCCAGCATCTTGAACATTTTCACTGGCTCACACCTGCCAATTTCTTTCATAGGCTTACAGTTTGGATAGTAAGTTCAGGGTGAAATTTTTTGATAAATCAGTAAAAACTTTTTGTGAGAGTTCAGTTAGTAAAGATACAGCAAAATTAAGAAATTTATTTTATAATTATCCTCAGTGTTCAGGGATTGTGAGACAAATTGCAAAGTGGCCATACAAATGATGATCTCCTGTGGAATTGTCTTAAAAGTTGTGAATTAGGCAGTGTTTCATAGACTCCTACATCTGACTATATTATTTCAAAGAATATATGTAGCATGAGGAGAATTTCCATTTGATGGTCAAGAGAAAAGCAGAAATCCAATGTTTGTTCTGATAAGAAGCGGCTCTTCTCTCTAATCACATCACTGAAGTGTTCAGAGAGGGAAAGATTATTCTTTCCAGTTAATTATCATCTAATGGCTAGTAAATTATTTTGCATAAGCTAATACGCAACAACACTATTTAAAAAATCCCAGTAGAATTAACTAATTAGTTCTCTCATTTAAAGGCTTTAATCAAGCTGTTTTTCAAAGGAGAAATAAGAAGTGCACTAAGTCAAGTGTGTTGATTATAAAGAAATCATGTACTGCTCTAGGTAGAATTAAAGGTACCGGAACAGAACACCCAGAGGTAGAGTACCATGTCAACCTTGGCCTTACCCTTTGATTTCAAGGCTTCTAATACCTTTGAATCAGCTGTTACATCACTCACTAGCTTGATTTCAACATTTTGAGAAGTCAGTTGGAGCAACTTTTCGAAAAGACGTTGACCCTAGAAAAAATATTCAGAACCAAAGTCAGAAAACCTAAAAGTATACTATTTTAAATAGGAATAAATAAACATTGAAAATTAAAACTATTCATTCAAATTTTAAAAGGCAAGCACTTCAGCCCTTGGCAGCACTTCATAAATTCAAAAGAGTTTATGGAAATAGAGTAGTAGTAGGAACACAGATCACATTGTTTTTTTGAGTATCGTGCAATTCAACAATTATTGCAATAGTCATTTCAATGCTACGATGCAAATCTACTCTTCTTTTACTTTTTCATGAACTCAAATTATCTACACATGAAGAGGCAGAGAATATTAAACAGTTGTGATTGGACCCAGAAAGACCTGGATTCCAGCTGGTTTTCCAATTTACAAACTCCGTTTCTTAATCTCATTAATTTCCAGTTTCTTCTTCAGTAAAAGATAGATAATATTAGTATTTACTTTAAAAGGTTTTTGTGAGGATTAAGAGATAGTAGTAGGTAAGTATCCTTTAAGTGTTAGCCATTATGGGGGGAATCATGACTACTTATCAGGGATTTGCCTAAATTCACCTTCTTGTTTAAGACGTATTTTACTGAATTCAACTTATGGTCTGCCTAGAAATCTATAATTATTAGCCCAGCCTAAAAATAACTGAAAAAAATAAAAAGTAAAGGCTTTCCTTATAGGATTTTCACAAACATAATTTTTATAGTAAAATTTCTTTTTTAATCTCAGGGACACTCTGCATAGTGGTAGGTCCATAGCTATTACATCATCTTAGGTGAGTGGATTGCAACATTATCCTTTTTATTTTCTCTTGTGTGTTCTCATAGACTCCTCATTATCATAAGAGGGAACTGGTCTTCTTTTACCGGTTCTTCAGAATTTTGTTATTCAGCCACAAACTCAAATGCCTTCAGAGGCTAAACAGGCAATAAGGCTTTGGTATTAATGGCCCCCAAGTGGCAGAGTCTTATCTTACTTTGATAAGAATAGATTATTGATAATGATCATGTAGAAAGAATTTGAAGACTGAAAAGAGAAAATGGATGAAATATAGATGTACAGCAGTGATTCCTGCAATTCAGCCTTAGAAAAGAAAGAAGCCAAAGATCAAAACCCTAAAGCTTTGGAATATTAAGGAGGAGGGAGCTGGTATGCCAGTGCTAGGGTGACAGCTGACAGCAGGGAGGAGTGTCTGGCATAATCCAGCCATGCTCCTGCCTAGACCTGGTGCAGTATAGCCTAAGCTCCATAATCCCTGGAAGTTAGAGGAAAGAGGAGTTGCACCCTATGTCAGGCATGGAGGCTTCCTTTTTGTCTAACTAAGTGTGCTGATAAAGGTTGCCCAAAGTAGAACTCACCAAGAGTGGCCAAATTACTTTGCATGCAAAGCGTGGAGGCAGCCTCCCCACAAAGCAGGTATTCCTATGAGGTACATTGAATGAGTGCATCAGGCAGCTGCAAATTACTTTTTTAAGGAAGAGGTGAGAGGGAAGAGGGAGGGAGAGAGAAAGAGAGAGATGAAGAGATAGAGGGAGAAGGATAAGGAAAAAAACAGCTGCTGATTTGCTGATTTCAGGGTCTACGTAAACTTCAAGTTTACTATGGAGAAATGAGGGCTTGGCAGTGAGAGGCTCAGACACTGGATGTGAGGGAAGATGCACTTGGTGGGGCTTTGTGGATTTTCCTGCAGAGCTGCCACCAACACAACCTCCTCCCTGTGAGCTTTGTCACTCTGCCGAGTTGTGCACTATACTCTTGTCACACACCCTTGAAGGTTTGGTGATGTCTACGTAGCCCAGATTTCTAGAGCCCAGACTCATGGTCATCTCACAGTCACAAAAATTGTTTGTATTTTTCACTTTCACAAAGGGAAAGGGCATATGTACTTTGTGTGTTATGTAAGTCCCCATAGTTAGTGAGCCAGTATTTTTAAAGACTTTCTTTTCTTTTTTTTTTTTGATGTGGACCATTTTTAAAGTCTTTATTGAATTTGTTACAATATTGCTTCTGCTTTATGTTTTGCTTTTTTAGCTGCGAGGCATGTGAGATCTTAGCTCTCGGACCAGTGATCAAACCCGTACCCCCTGCATTGGAAGGCAAAGTCTTAACCACTGGACCGCCAAGGAAGTCTCGAGCCAGTATTTTTAAACAAATGCTTTTTTTTGCTCTTAGTTAACAATAAATTTAGCACAAACGAAACATAAGAGATCTTCTAACCTATCTGTACTTCTGGCTCTGAGCCTTAAATTTATTCTCACTGTGTTATTTTTGTGAGATTTAAAATGGAGACCAGAACTATCAAACATGAATGAAAATAGAAACTCCAAAAGCTACAGATAGTAGCAGACTGTCACTAAATAAAGCTTATTTTTACTTCAATATGTGCTGATTACTTACACCAAGGAGTCTTAACATTTTTAATTATAGTGCTCACTGTAATGAACTTGTGCTGGGGTAGAATTTCTGTACTTGGGCTTGAGGCAGAACTTCTATTAAATTTCCTCTGTTTTCAGTGTCTTACCTCCCAGTCCACCCATTTTTGCTAGGACATTCAAAATGTAATGACTTCAAAGGTATGAAACACTTATTCTATGCTGAGATCTGCAGTAAGGCCCACTGCTCTCTGAGTTAAATTTACTCATCATGTTTTCATAAAGGAATAACAAAAGTCCCTTGGCTTTTAAACATCAGCAGTTTAAAGACTTGCTCTTTCTGGTGAGAAACATTAGCTAACATTTTAAACTTAAATAAATCATCTTGAAGTTAGCTAGTGGCTCAGGCACATTGACCTACTTTAAGCCATTTTTTTCCAATGTCTGCAAAAACCTTATGATAGACAGTACAATCCTGGACAGAGAGCTGTACCGCAAGGATAGAGATCCAGCTCAGCCCCTTTGTGACTCTGAAGAGGCTGTTTAACCCAAGACAGTAGGGGTTATAAATACTGCCTATTTCTGTTGACCCAAAACAACTCATAGGCAGGATGAAATGCCCCAATAAAATGTGAAGGGGAAAAACAAAAATACCAAAGAGAAATCAGAAGATAGTTCTCTGATAGGACTAAAAAAAAAAAGTCCTCTGGCTGGACTAAAACTCTATGATTTTAAAGATAAATTAGAAGAGTAATTAAAGAACACTGTTGAGACCCAAATTAGTGGCCCAAAGACCAAATGGAAGAAATATCTCAAAGCACAAACATGCATGCACACACACATACACAAAAGTATAAGGGTGACGAGGGGAGAAAAGGGTGATTGATAAATTGAAGATATATAACATGTGGCTAATAGGTGTAATAGAAGAGAAAAAGAGACAAAAAGAATAAGTTTGCAAATAACAGAAGAAAAAAGTGTCCAACTTGAGGTAAGACATAGATTTACATGTTGAAAAGATAACTGAAGATGGAGGCAAATATAATGTGGAAACTCACATCTAGGCACATTCTGTAGAATTAATCAACACCAAGGAGAGAGAGGAATTCTTACAAACTCCCAGCCCAAAACAGAACAAAACAAAAAGGTACCTATCAAGGAAAATGGATCAGACTGGCGTGGAGCTAACCATCGGCAACACTAAACCAGCACTTGGTGGTGACAGACCGTGGAAGAAAAAGAGTGAAGCCCAGGAGTGCTTTACCCAGTCAAGGATTTTACCTGCCAGTGGGAAAGAAAAAAATATTTGCAGATATATACAGGTTTAGAGACTGTATTACCTACATAACCCATATGAGGAACATATTCAATGAAGGGCTCTAACCAAACAGTAAATAACACTAAAAGCCATCAAGGAGGATGAATGAAAGAAGAAATAATTGGTTATCAATGTGATATGAATATGTGTTTGATGTACTTGCTAGGACACTTTATAGGGGAAGACCTACTAAGAATCTATTACATGCATTCCCAGTACTATTACCCTAAAGGGACTGAAAATTGATTCTTTCCAGTGTGAGTGTAGAGATGTGTGTGTAGATGAAAGTTACTCTTTTTTATTAATAAAACATAGATATACATACAGTAAATATGCAATATATCTGTGGTATTAAAATTTCATGGTGGGGGCAGGATTAGGAAAAAATGTCCAAAAATTTCCCAAGTAAGGTGATAATGAAAAAAAGGTTGAGAAACACTGATCTACAACAAATTGGATAAAGGATCTCAGTAAAAATTAGAATAACAGCTGAGGAGGGCTTAAAAGGACTAGATGGAAAAAAGGTCATAGTAATGGAACTGACAGTTATAAACTTGTATGTACCAAACAGCATAGTGGCTAAATACATAAAGCAAAAGGTAATAAAAAGGCAATTAAAACACTACCACTGGGCTTCCCTGGTGGTGCAGTGGTTGAGAGTCCGCCTGCCGATGCAGGGGACACGGGTTCGTGCCCATGTCCGGGAAGATCCCACATGCCGCAGAGCGGCTGGGCCCTTGAGCCATGGCTGCTGAGCCTGCGTGTCCGGAGCCTGTGCTCCACAATGGGAGAGGCCACAACAGTGAGAGGCCCACGTATCACAAAACAAAACAAAACAAAAACAAAAACAAAAAAACAAACACTACCACTTTAAAATATGTCTTTCAAGCCTGGGTAGATCTAATAGAAAATAAATGAGGATATATGAAAATTAAATAATACAATCAATAAACTTGATTATGTGTACATTTATATATTTTTCATTTCATATATCAAGCCCCTCAAAACAATATTTGTCTGTGGAACATTTATAAAAAAGACTTTCCTGTAACTTCCATTAAGAAAACTTGAACAATGGTTAAAATGAAATATTCTACAGGCTTCATTCTCTGCTCATAATGTAACAAAATGAGAGACACACCATTAACATGTGACTCATAAAACAAATCTTAACTACTTGAACATTTTAAAACTCACTCTTAGATTATCCTTACCTCAAAAGAGAAAAGAAATGTGAATTTTTCTATTCTCTAGGAAACTATGAACAGTTGAGCTCTTCATAGCAAAACCATGAAATGAAGAAATATTTGGTGTCAGAG